GCAGGACTTTGGTGGGTGGTGCTCAGCAGCAAACACTAACCACGATGGAAAATCCTGCTGGTGGCTGGATCATTTGGAGGTCCCAAACCAGCTGTGCCAGGATGCTGCTGGTCACACCAAGCATCTGCTGCAACTGAACCCTGAGCCCTCAAGTCTTGGCGCAGAAAAGCAAACACCACCACTTCTCTTGGGAGACTTTCCATTGTACTTTCCTGACTATGAACAAGCAAGTCAATGGGTAGGAAGAAATCAAGTTTGGCCAAGCCAAGAGTTTTAGATACCCATGACAGGAAACTTAACCTTTCCGCCGATGCTCTCCCATAAAAGCATTAATAATTTTCAGCTATTTCCCTGAGTTTTTTCCCTAGCAAGAGCCCATCCTGAGCAGCCAAGATGAATGTAGCTTCGTGGCTCTCCTGATGCCTGTTTATTACTAACACTACCCTAACAGCCTGGGGAAGAACCTGCCAAGTCTCAGAGCGGCTGAGAAGGACACTGGGGCTGTGCCAGGAATTTTCTTGCAGCCAGTAAGACAAACTGTCTGGAGCAGTGCCTTGCTGTGTACATGGCACAAGGCACTTTGCTGCATGTGTTTGGTCTCTTCCCTTTCTTTGAAGAAAATACAAATTTTAAATCCACTCTGTAAGAAAACCAAAGCAACCACCTCACACACAGCCCGAAAGAACCCACAGTGAAAAATTTCTCAGCCAAAAACAATGAGATGAAGTGAATCAACTGCTCTCCAAAGCCACAATCTGACCCACTGAATTATTCAGCACAGACTTCTAACATCACCTTCCATGCAGTACAGGGCACTGTATGAATGCTGCCTGAGGGACTATAAAACAGAAGGTACAAACACAATGTCAGCAAAAAATACAGGTAGTATCTTAACTGCTTAATTACCTTGAATCCTACATTTCTTTAAAAACATGTTGAATTATGTTTTAGGTTTTATCTAGCTCTAATCTATTGCTGGAGATATGACATTCCAAACAAAGAATCACATTCATTTGTTCAATTCTGAGAGTGATGTTTGTGTAACAACAAAACAAGCACTCACAGCAAAATCCTGTCTAGCTTTAACAGTAAAGAGGGAGAAAAAATGTAACCTCATTGCTGCTTTTCATCCCTGCCCTCTCTGACTGAGCTTTCTGGCTTCAGCTTCTGGTGGATGCAGAACTGAATTAGGGTAAGAGTGCAGGCACATCCCTCCCTTCTCCTCACACACCTCACACTCCTCGGCCAGGGAGAGCTCCCGAGCTGCAGCCTAGTGCCCTCCAAGGTGCTCTGAGGCACAGAGCACACTGAGGAACTCACCATGGACATGTGCTAAATGGAAACGTGTTTCCAAAAGCAAAGAGGAGGACTCAGCTAGTGACAGAGGAAAGCAGCTGCTTTTGCATTTATTCCAACACTTAATACATTCAAATTCAGACTACCTGGTTATTTTCTTGGAAAGCATTACACTTGTAATGGAGCATTCTTGGAAAAAATAACCAAATCAGTGACAAGTACTGGTTTTTTAAAAAAAAATTCACTGAGTTTATGCTAATTTCTCCAAGGCATCACAGGAGAATGCTCTTTATCCACCATGTCATTAGGCTAGTTTTTAAAGCTCAAATATGCTCAATGTTGTGAAGGAAAAAAGTAATTTAAATCTATTTTCTCCCTTATATAACAAAATGTTTCACAAAGACAAAGAATATTGGGAGTTGGAAGGATCCACAAGGATCATTACTCCTGTCCCTGCCCAGGACACCCCAACACTGCACCCTGAGCCTGAGAGCATTGGCCAAACACCTCTGGAGCTCTGTCAGCCCTGGGGCTGTGACACTGCCCTGGGAGCTGTTCAGTGCCCAGACACCTCTGGGGGAAGAACCAGTTGCTAATCTCCAGCATAACCCTCCCTGACACAACCTCAGCCCATTCCCT